CCCTTTTCCCACACGAGTTCTGTTTCTCCCACATCCACTGTGCAGGAAGGCAGCTCCCCTTCCTTCCCCATGGGTTAGAAGCAGAAAATTGCCAAGATGCTGTTCCAGCTCTTCACACCTCTCTCCAACTGTGACCCTATAATCTCCATTTCCATGACTTTATCTGCTTCCATGCCCAGGACCCCAAGACCCCACTCCGAGGGTGAAGTTAGATATCCTGACATCACCTGTAGAACTCTGCGTACTTTACAAACCTCTCTCTCATCTAGTCTCATTTGCTCCTCCAGCAAATCAGTGAGGTGGGCAGGCCAGGTATTCCCATTTTGCAGTTGTGGAAACTGAGGCTCTGGAAGGTTAATGATTTGATGAGTGTGTGAATTTGCTTGGGCTACCACAGCTAAGTGCCACGGACTGAGCGGCTTATAAATCCAAGATCAGGGTGTCAGAGGATTGCTTTCTTCTCAGGCTTCTTGGCTTGTAGAAGGCCATCTTCTCCCTGTGTCTTCACATCATCTTCCCTTGATATGTGTCCAAATATCCCCTTTTTTATGAGAACACCAGTCATACTGGATCAGGGCCCACCCTAATGACCTCATTTAATCATAATTATCTCTTTAAAGACCCTGTATCCATATAGGGTCACATTCTGAGGTTCTAAGAGTTAAGACGTCAACATATGAATTTGCAGGGGGACCTAATTCAGCTTATAACACTGGGCATCATGGCTAGTTAGTGGCCCTGGCAAACAGATTTCCTGGCCTCATTTGTTTTTTGCCTCCGCCCTGTATTTCTGAGGTTGTATCTTGTTTTGCTGGCTTTGCAGCCCACCTCTTTGCCCTAGGCAACCCCTTCAGTCTGGCCTTTTCTATCCTTTTCAACTCTGGGGGCATGGTAGGGGCAGTGAGGTGACAGCAACAGGACTGAGTCTGTGAGTTAATAGGCTGGTCTTTTTGCCTCTCACAGAGTGAAAGGGAACCTTCTCTCTGGAAGCTGACCGATTATTTGACAGGCCAATCAAGAGCCTTAGCTGAGCGCAGAACTGCATTAATTTGCTTAATAAAAAAATCAATGCCCAGGCACCTAAGTGGCTGTTTGGACATTAGCCAAGTGAACAGAAGCTATAAAAGGATTTTATAACTTCTTTTTCAACAAGGACCTTTATGATTTAAAACACACGCAACAGCAGCAGCAGCAGCAGCAGCAGCAGCAATAACTCTGACATGACAAAGCAATGATGGACTCACCCTGTAATTTTAGGAACTTTGGGCTTTTATGAAGGAAAAGCACCATCTTGGACAGTGTTATCTGGCGATATTGAAATACTAGTTCCAGAAAAAATGTTATTCATTCATGAAAAAGTAAATACCAAGTAAGTGCTTACTTACTAATGTACCAGGAATGAGGGCAAGCCATTGGTTTTGTTGAGAGAAATAGCATTTTAAAATTTACACTTTAACATAATACTAACAATATTATTATTGCTGTTGTTTACCCTGTGCTAAGATTTGTATATGTATTCATTTAGTCCTAACATTCATGATATATGAACTGTTAACATCCCTATTTTTATAAGGAAAATTTAGTTTTTCCCAAAGTGACACCAACTAATAGTGGTGGGTCTGAGAGTCAAATCCAGTCAGCTGCCCTCAGAAGCTGGTGCTCCTGAAACTAACCAGGTCATTTGTTGGTCTGCAGTGACCCCTAATTGGGAGCATTGTCCTAGACCCCGTGATGCAGAGAATTTCTTGCCTTCACAGAGCTTGCTATCTTCAATATGTGAGAGCATTAAGTCCCAGTTTTGTGGGTATTTTAGAAAATATTTATGCATATGTCTCAGGAAGATGCTTAGGGCCCAAATCAAGTATATTCCTAGGGCAAGCGTTTTCTACACTGCAGTCCATGGAAATGTAAGTTATTTATATACTATTCATAATACCTGCAGGCTCATAAACATCTGCGACCTCACTGAATCGACACTGCTGTTCACCATCTCTCGAAAATAATCTCTTTCAAATGTTTCTTTCTTGAACCAGACCCTGGGGTTACTGTCCTGGTGACCCATGAGGGAAGGTGGTTAACCCTCAAATCTGTCAATTCTGTGTCAACGCAAGCCATAACTGGCTTCTAATGCTAAGTCAAATCAAAGAGGATGGAAATAATGCGTTCCAGTGTGTGATACTCAAGGGGAACCTAATGCAGAGAGAAAAGGAAGAAATCTCTGGCACCATCTCAGAGCCGGACCCCTGTTTTCAGTCAAAGGAATTCCATCCTCTCAGCGGGGAGGTAATTGACAGTATGGAAAGAGCAGCTGAAAAGGAAGTGCCCGCCAGAGCTTTCAACTGGGTTGCAGAGGATGGAAGAGATAAAAACAGTTTTTGCCTGGGGTTCTGATTTCAGGATCCGGGTTCAGACATCAAAGGCATGCTGTCTCACCCCCATTTCCCCTCTGAAAGCCTAGGAGACCCGCTCTGTAGCACCCCACATCTGGTAACAGTCCCGCAGGTGAAAGCAAAGAGGCTGCAGGGGGAGTGTGTGAGACTGGCCCTGTGCCTTCACTGTTATTGCCCTTGGTTTTTGTTCCTAGAAATCTCACTTCCCGGCCTTGCAAGATTACATCTCTTGATTGGCCCTTTGCGTCGCGATTTGCTAGACCTGGCCAGCCCTTTCACCGTGGCTCCCGTCTTTGGGAACCGTGGTCCTGGCTCTCTGGGACAAAGTGGGAAGCCTGTTTGGCATTTGTCAGCTGTGATCTCTCGTCTTTGGAAGAGTTTCTCGAACTCAAAATAACGAAACAAAATGGACAAACAAACATGCCTCCTTTGATAAGTGTGTGAGTCTCATGCCCCTGCCTATGAGAAGATGTAAAAGAATCTGTATCCTAGAAAATTCTCCAAATTTCTACCATAAAGATACTTTGGATGAGTTTACTATTAGTTAAAAGCTTCTCCTGTCTTTTTAAAAGTACGCATTACAATATGCTTTTTAAAGCTACCAATGCCTCCTGAGATTCTAATATATCCTTCTGGAAGAGGATATTGTTCTTGCCTTTTGGTGAAAATCACTTCTCTAAACACCCAGCCAGAGGTGCAGAGTTAAAACCAAGAGACGGGATCTGTGGAAAAGCCCACAGATTTGAGCCCAGATTGCGTGCTGCAGGCTTGAAAGACAGCTTCCCACCTCCCCCTTGTCCTCCTCCCCTTTCACTTGTGGCCAGGGGTAATGAGGCCAGTGAAAGACGTTTCCACAGGACCCAGCAGACAGGAACTATTGCTGCCCCTGAAAAATAAGCTCTTGAGAATGGCAGGACCCTGATAAACTGCCTAATAATGCCTTCGAGCGGTTCCCAGAGGGTGGTCCAGGACCAGCCACACAGCATCACCTGGGCCCCACGCAGAGCTGTGGGGACGAGGCCCAGTGTTTCCATGCACTCACAAGTCTGAGAATCACTGTATCAGAGAAACCTTTGTTCAAGAGGTCAGGAAAAGCAGGGCTGCCTTGCTAGTATCAGTGTTTTGGAAATACTTACAGTGGAAGCAGTTTACATTTTCTTCTCAGGCTCAGGTGTCCTAATTCGGGTTTCTCAGGCAGCAAGCAAATTCCGATTTCAGCCCCGTCAAACACAGGCGGCCGCTGAGTTGATCTAACAAGGCTGTGGGTCATTAACACTACCTGCTGTTCTCATTCATTCGCTCACTTATTTAGTCATTTATTCATTCAATCATTCATTTCTTTTACAGAAATTTATTGAGCACTTGTATGATCCAGAAAGTGTTCTAGTAGGGTGAATATATATTCATTGTCCAAATAGGCTGATTTGAATGAGCCATTTGCTCTGCCAGTTGCTTTTCTGTGACCTTGGGCTAAGGCCTGAACCTCTCTGAGGCTCATTTCTCTTGTCTATAAAATGGGGCCAATAGCTAGCTACTTTATAGGTAGAGTTGTGAAGATTAACTCAGATAATGAATAAAATTTTAAGCACTGTTCTGGGTACATGTTCAATAAATAATATTGATTATTCGCAATGTGATTGATCTTTAGGGCTCTGAGTGGTCCTTCCCAGCTGGAGTAGAAACTCCTATTGGGAGGTCCTAGAGGAGAAGGTTGAGGCCAGATTGCCGAGATCAGTGAATCTGAATGCTGCATACACATTAGAATCTCATGGGGCATTTATAAAAAATGCTGATGCCTCGGCCTCATCCCTAGGGATTCAGATTTAATTGGCCAGGCTGAGACGGATGGACTTAATCCTACAAGTAAGGGGAAATGAGCGCCCTGCTCTCGAAACTCATCTTGGTCTGATCATTTGTCATCGGCGAATTCCCGAGAAGAGTGTGTGTCTGGCAGCAGTCACCAGTGAGCAGTGAGTGATACCTCTGGGCTTGGGTTTCCTTACTTAGCCATTTGGTTGCTGCCCTCATCAGGGACTCAGAGCCCCATGAAATAGTTTGTTGAACTTGGCAAAGTGGCTCATGATGCTTGTGTTTATTCTCTTGAACCCATGGCGAATGGCTGAGCCTTTTTAACACATTCCCTTTGCTGCCAGATTCACAAGTTCCGCATGAAGTCTCTGCAGACTGGATCCGAATGAAGGACTCGCCCCCGTTACTAATACAGCACCAGAGCGTTTTCTTCGCTTTTAATCATGTGAATGAGCTCTTCAGCTGTGAGTCTGTCCAGCCACGTTTCTAATGAGTTTCCTATTAAGTTAGCTGTTTGACCTTCCAGTGTATTATTTTCATTGTTTTCATTTGATTACACCCAAGTCATTTTTCTAGAGGCTGGAGATTAGAAATAAAACAACTAAAAACTAATGCTACTCCCTGGCTGTCCTGCCTCGCCCTCTCGGGTTTCCTGGAATTCAGTATTTTCTAGTGCCTCACATAATACCACTTGTACTTGAGGCTAATTTTTAAAGGGAAAAAAATACGGAATCGTGTTGTCGTTTCATGTGAGGTCTTTGGAAATTAACTGGGATAGCTCTGTTAATTTGTCCTAGGCAGTCAGCAGCATGCGTTCAGGAAGACTCAGACTGTAAAAGAGGGCTCGCCACCCACCGCGGTGTCTGGCGGTGGGTTCATCTGTGAGGTATGGCTCTGAGACTGAGATCTGTGCTTTGGAGCACCGCTGGGGACTGAGTGATGGACCCTACTTAGGAGAGCAGGGCTTGCCTCCATCTCAGGCTTTGCCATCTTTGAGTGTTCGGTTACTATCTCCTCCATTCTCTTACTTTCTTCCCGTCTCTCAAAGGCACAGATGCGATCTCAGGTGCAGATTCTGCCAGTACATATCCTCAATGCTGCTGGATTTGATGCAGACAAGTCTTCATTTGTTCTCCTTGCTTAAATGGAGACTTACTGCCTAATGACAGGCTAACACTTACAAGTTTGCTTACGTACCGTGGCAATCTTCACATGAGGAGTGTCTTCGTTTTAACAGATGAAGAAACGGAGGCTCAGGAAGGTTAAGTAACTTGCCACAGTCACTCAGCTCGGAAGTAAATGGCAGAGCCTGGATTCGAACCCACGTAGCCTGGCTCTGGGTGTTAGCCTCTTAACCACTGCACTCTGTTGCCCATACATGGTGGGCCAAGCAGTGGCCACAAGCAGAGGTGTGATAACCACAGGCCTGGCTTTTCCACCCTGACTGGTAGTAAGGGTGGGGTGAGCCCCTGGAGCAGAGGCCACTGTGGGGTGGGGGAGACCAGGGCTGTCCTCCCAGAGGGAGGAGTTTCTACCCGCTTCATTGCTCCAACTGGGGAGCATGCCTTTTCAGAAGTTCGCTGTGTCAAGTACAAGAGCCTTAACTTTAGCTTGGAGTGCTTCTGAGACGTTCTGATCAATTGCCAGAGCTCGCTCAGATTCAGGATTTTGTAAGAGCGAGAGCAAGCGAGAGAGAGCGAGAGTAAGAGAGAGAGGCAAAGCCTGAGACAGAGTAATAGAGGCAGACTGTGGACATGGCTGATGAGTGTGCGCTGATGGTTGACGGAGCCCATCACCTCAGGGCTCTGCTCGTTTTCATGGAAATGCCCCCAGAGATGGTTGTGGAAGGAGGGTGGAGCCCAGTGACCCATCCCACACGGTGCCTTTGATCCCCTCTCCCATGCAACTCTTCTTTCCTGGCCATGTCTCCTGCCCTCCTATGACTTGATTTTGGGCCCCCAAATAGCACTAATGATCTCAGCGTGAATTAATCGTGCTCGGTAAGCCTTCTGCATCCCTTCTTCTGCAGATAGCCTATCTACTTTCTTACCATTTCTTCTGCCTTCTGTGGAGTCCACTGCTGGGTGGCCTGGTTGGCTATGGTTCTCCTTGGGCATGCCAGCCAACATCCAGAAAAAGTTTTGGTTTAAGAAAAGACAATTAGTGAACAAACTAAAGAGCCTCTCATTGTCCAAACCAGGAAACACATGGCCTCAGCTCTGACCAACTCATTGACAATGGGAGAGCTGCCAGTCCAGTTTAATTTTCTCACTCTCACAGCCTTGGGCTTTTGGATTTAAGGGCTCAGAGGACCATTCTGTGAAGCTGTGAGCCCATGAGGTGTTTGAAATTTAGTTCCGAGGAGGAAGATCCTGGAAACATGAATCTCACGTTGACTCAATGACCTAATTATATTGCAGATAATTCTTGCAAAGGAAAGATCACTCCATTTCCGAAATGAAAAATAAGCTACTTTCTGTGAAGATTCTACTGACCTTTAAGAGACGAGCATCCCCGAGGAATGGAATGGTACTTCTAGAAGTCTGAGGTTTTGGGAAAGTAATAAAAAGGCCAGCCATGTGGGCCGGCAATACCATGGAAGGAATGGCAGCATCCTGGAACTAATTTAGGGAATGGAGTCAATAGGAGGCAAAGGCATGAAGAGAATTCAGACTGGTCCACTCCAGGCCTTTGGCCTTTTCGCTTAAAACCAACAAACTAATCTTCTTCTCTTGAGGTCACATGTCCATTCTTAAGTAAACCTGCTCTTGACAGGACATCCTGCCAATCGATTCCCACCCTCTGTGTTCCCAAGCCCATTTTCTTCCTAAGTGGCCTCCTGTATGCGGCTCTGAAATGGCTGGTGGATGGTTAAAATCCCAAGATCTCCTCACTCATCATTGTTTCTCCTAGGCCAGAGCATTGTTTTTATAATACGCATTTTCTCAAGTTATGCGAATTGTGTTATTAACCCCGAGGGCAACAGGAGGGAATTGTTAGGAGTTGAGTAATTAGCATGCTTGTGAAAGCCAGACAAATCAGAAGGGAGAACTGGACTGTCAAACTGAACATCTGATGAAATTCAGAATTAATTTGGAGAAATAGCTGTTGCTATAGCAACCAATCGCCACTCTCCTTTGAAATGGAAAATAAACAAAAAACAAGTAAAATAATTCAAGTTGGTGTCTGGGCAGAAGAAGGCCCTTCTGTGGGACAGTAGAAGTTAATGAAGAGAGTGGAGTATTTTAGGATATGCTGAAACAATGGTGAAACCCTCACATACAAACAAAACCCAAGTCATCTGTGATGGTTCGGTTCTATGCCTGTTTTCTCTAGGAATCTTTTCAGGCCCATTCAAGTTACCACACTGATCTTTCTTTCTGGTTATCTAGGTACTTAAAGTCTGTATTGTACAGGTGAGCCCTTGGGTTATTTTGTAAGTACTAGCTTTATTCAACTGGATTAGCGACTCCTCGAGGACCAAGACCATGTCTTAATGCTACATTCCTATCCTCTTTAACACCCAGCAAAATGCTCAGATACATGCTGCAGACAGGCTGATAAAAGAGCGTTTTCAGAAAAGGTGGTGATGTTGGTTCTCTCTAATGAAGGAGAGTCTTTATTGAGTATTATGTAAGGCGAGTAAGCGGATGATGAAGGAAGGTTGTGGGGAGTTGTGGCAAGAATATAAGCTTTTGAGTCACACAAATTGGGGTTCAAATTCTTAGTGGTTTTCAAATCCTTACTGCCCAACAGAAATGCGTAAAAAAGACATGCACAAGAATATTCATTGCCATACTGTTCATAGTGACTGGAAATAACCCAAATGTCTGTCAGCAATCGAATGGATAACCAAACCATGATGCAGTCACAAAGTGGAGTACTCTGGCAATGAGGGTGAACAATCTTCGCCGGCATGGAATGACATGGATTATTCTTATAAATATAATGTTGAGCTAATGAAGCCAGACACAAAAGACTATGTACTGCATGATTCTATTTTTAAAAATCTTGAAATCCAAAACTAGTCTATGATATTGGCTTATATTTATCATACTCATAATATTGGCAGATGTATGTATACACACACCCACCCGCGCGCACACACACACGCGCACGCACACACACACACACACACACACATGAGGAGGCGGATAGTGACAGAAAGAAGACATGCGGGGTGCTGGCCATATTGTTTCTTAATCTGAGTGCTGGTTCCCTATGAATGAAGTAGGGATAATATTCACACCTATCTCATCGGACTGCTAATATTAAATGTGACCATTCGTGGCATGTAGTAATTGTTCAGTAAGTGTCAGCTATTGTTGTTATGACTAAGCCCTTCAGGGAAGGAGTGCTCACTGTCTGGGGAGGCTCGTGGGGAGAAGTGAGCCCTGGACTATTTCATAGGTCTAGGATCTGGGATGCCACCCTGCCCTTTGTTCTGTCTGTTTATTGCTCTTGGCAATGTCTGATCGCGTTTCTGACTCCTCGTCCACGGAGCTCCCTGCGAGCCTTCGAGGCCTCTGTGTTGCATTCACGGCCTGGTTCTTTCTCTTTTAATCTCGCAGCACCCGCCGACTGCGGGTAGTTCTGCTTACGATGCTCCGGTTTCTACCGTTGCTCACGCTGCTCCTTCTGCCAGGCCTGCCTTTCCTTTTCTTCTTAGCCTCGCAAAGACTTCAGTATCCCCAGTGCCATCTGCATAGTGGGTACTTCATAAAAATCTGTTGCCATACTGAAAACCCAGATCTGCACCAAATGGACATGGCCCCAGTGCTGTGGGCCGACTCCAGCTGAGCTAAGCTTCTATTCAGGGCTTTCATTTTCCTGGTAGACCTGGCATGTCAAGGGCCATAGTTTTCCTTACCACTCTGGAGCCACTGGGCTTCTGGGTAAAACTGTCTGGCCAAGAGACACAGGCTTTCATTTTTCAAAAAGGAAACCCTTCCCAACTGGTGGAAAATAAGCTTTTGCTTAGTGACTAATAACATAAACACAGACAAGATTTCTGGGCTTATAAATAACCAGTTGTGAAAGTGCCCAAGGGAAGCAGCCTTTTTTTTTGCCACAAGAATGGCCAAGTGCGTTTCTGCCACTTCGCTGATAGTGACCTTACTGTGGGCGAGGAGCCTCAGGCCACGGCTGCGGAAGGCGGTCACTCTTCAGGACAGAGTCCCAAGGCCTTGCTCTTATACGTTATAAGTCCTGGGCTATTCTGGAAAAATAATAGTTGATCTTTAAGATTCTTCCTGCGTGAAAATCCTGTGGTTCTGTAGCAGCCACAACATGTTTTAAAGAGTGAGGCCAGTGGGGAAAGTCTTAGGGTTTTGTTTTGCCACAGCTGCCTGAGAGGCAGATGAAGTAATTACGAGATTAGCTTCCATTTATTGAGCATTGGCCGAGGCACTGTGCTAAGGGCGCTGGGCCCGTGAGCTCACTGAATCCTCTGTAACCGTGTGAGGAAATTTTTAGACTCACGTGACTGATGAGACTGAGCTTTGGAGGGTGGGGAGGCAATGTATGTGAATCACAGAATGGTGACTGAGAGCGTGGAGCGTGCAGTCAGACCGCGGGCCCAGGCCTGGCTCTGCCTCGTACGCACTGTGTGGCCATGGCAGTTCTTAACCTCACCATACCCAGGTCCCCTCATCTGTAGAATGGGGAGACTCATAGGACCAAAGCCATAGGACATAATTAATGGAAAATGCTATTAGCACAGTGCCTGCACACAGTAGGCCTTCAGTAAATGCTGCCGTTATTATGAAGGGCTCCAGAAGCTTCATGCATGACAACGCACGGCCTCCTTGATGAATCATTGATGCTCCAAGTCTAGAACCGTGTGTGCATTTACTTCATCTAGGGTTACAATCATGGCCTTTACCATGAGACTCCAGCTGCTTCCTGCGGAATGGGTGGGGTCCCAGAGCCAGGCCTGGCCACTGTGACAACTCTTGCCCCTGGCTGCCCACCAGCCTCACCTGCAACAGGGAGGGGCTGATTTTATCACTCAGATATCATCTCATTCATCCAGTGTTTCCTGCACTGGCTCTTGGTTCGTTCCCCTGGATGTCATTAGGAATATCGAAATGACCAAATCAAGCTGCAAAACTCTTAAAGAAACCAGACGTTCCAAGGGCAATCAGGTATTAGCGTTCTCTAAGCTTGTTACCTGTGTTTGACCATGGAATGCTTTTTTCCTCCAGAATATCTTGCAGGACCGTATTCCATAGTGCTCAATGGAATATGCATTTGTAACTGTTCTCTGGCATGCCCACCCCCAAATGGAGCCAGCAGAGGGGCAAGCGGGAAAGATGGGGGACCAGAAAGGATGGGGATTCGAAGCAAGGAGTGGCCGGGGACGTGAGACAGGTGGACAGAGTCAGGAGATATTTTAGAAGTAGGACCAGCAGGACTCACTCGTGGAAGCTGCTTAATAAAATATTTGGCGTATTGAACTGTGTCGAACTGAACTGTGTTTATGTCTCATCAATGCCATGTCAGCCTATTGGATAGGGAAGAAGCCAGTCACTGAAGTGATCCTTTGCTCTTCCTGAGGCAAGTGACCCACACCTTCTGATAGTCACTGAAGGGACCGCTGGCTTTGGCCTCCTTTAGTCTTTGGCATCATACTTTTTTGGGGTGTGAGGTTCCTTGTTCTTTCCCTGTAAGTACTTACCCTCTTTCTTCCTTTTCACCCTTTTAGAGATGAGAAAACCCATTTGCCTTCTCCGGGCACATCCACTCTATCATATTTTGGAGCCTGAGGCATACGACCTGAGGCAGCTTTTCCAGTTTCCAAAGTTTATTGTTAATGAAAAGTGCACACCAGGCTGGAATCCCTGGCAGAAGCCAGAGCCGCAGGGTACACCGAGGCCAGCAGACATAGGAACAGCCAATTTTATTTGGCTGTTCTTTTTCCTCCTCCTCCCTGCCCTCCTCCTCCTTCCTCCTTCATTTTATCAGAGAGGTTTGGCTGGACTTGAAGGAGCCAGAAAGGAACTGAAGGGGCCCGAGCTTCTAGCAGCCAGTGACAAGGTATAGGAGGACAGGGACCCAGGCCCGGAGCACATTCCAATTCAATTCAGTTCTCATTAAATACACATTTATTGTGTATTTGTGTGTGTGTCTGGTTCAGTGCTAGGCCCCGGGGGTTCAATAATATTGATTTAACATACCTGATATCAATAGATTCTCCCAGCAGTTCTAAGAAGTACTTATTAATAGTATGCACATTTTTACAATTGATTAAACTGAGGCACAGAGAGGGCAAGCAACTCCCCCAGTGTCTGATTCCAAAACTACAGTTTTTGCCTCTCAAAGTCCAATCAGAGGAACTGGATATGCAAACCGGCAAATAAATCCACATAGTTTAAAAGTACCGTGATGCAAGTATCAGTTACTACAGTGAGAGGCCGAAGGGAGGTAAACTGGGGCCATATTTGAGTTCATCCTTAACTGATGAGTTGGAGTTCCCCGGCAGGTAAGACAGGTGGGAGTGAAGGCAGAGGGAAGAACATAAAGGTGGGAAACAGCAGTGTGTGTGGTGGAGGGGGAGAGGGAGAGAGAATGAGCGAGAGGCAGATACTGTGAGACGCAGCAAACAGTCGTGCCTTGGTGGGCTTAGGGGGCCTGACGGGTTGGTGGAAGCTGACGAGATGGAGGGAGGTAGACGGCGGTCCTTCAGGAAGGGCCTTGGGTTCCCTACGAATGTTTTTATACCACATCCCTTGGGAGTGATGGATTCCAAAACGTTTATTTTGTCTTTGCTCAAGGGACATCTTATGTGAAAGCCCCAAATCCGAAGCAGCTAGCAATGGAGTGGCTTTGGTTGAGGTCGTGCTGAAGACCTAGAGCCTGTCCTTCGTGGCCTCCCCTAGCATACCACACTTCCCCGACCCCCCTGTCACCCCCGGTCATCTGCCTGGAACCCCAAGGACTAAGTTGAGCAGAGTTTGAACATCACTGCTAGAGAATATCAGGGTTGAGGAGAGAGAAGCATTTACTACTGTGTGATTATTTTCTGTAATTATCCAGAATGCATTTATGAAGTTTTGAGTTCGTCGCTTAGTCAATATTGAGTCCCTATGCCATAAAGCACTCTGAGTGCTGGTGATACATCAGTGAATAAAATAGACCGACCCACATTTATATTTTACTGAGGGGAGACAAAATAAATACACAGAAGAGATGAGTAACAGGGCTAAGTAGGGTCCACAGGCTCATGTAGGACCTGGTGGGCCCCATTTGGAACTTTGGGTTTTATTTTGAGTAAGATGGAAAGTCTGGGAGATATGGAGAAAAGAGATGACAAGATTGGCCACCCACTTTGGGGTCAGAGTAGCTTATAATGGTCCGGGTAGTTGGTCCATATCGAATGGTTAATAAATGGTAGCTTTGTTTTTTTTTATTACCCATTATCCTTACAGCAGAGGGATTCTAATGGGAGGGATTTGGGAGAAATGATCCTGGCAAAGGGAGTCAGGTCCTCAGAAAAGAGAGGCACATTCCCTCGACACTGCAAAGGGACGTCCAAGAGTAGTCGTGATGCCGATGTTGTTCACCCGGCCAGGAAACCTGCCCAGCTCCTCACGATGCCAAATGGCCCGACTCGTGTCCTGACCGGTAGCTGTTCACCCCGCTTGCCCAGTGACATCTCCATTGTCTTCTCTCCCACTCTCTGTGGTCCTCAGTGAGCTCGTTGGATAAACAGGGCATCTGTGTGTTGCTCTCCCCCCCTCCCCGCCCCCACAGTGTTTGAGAACAAAGATAAGATTGTGATCATCATGGAGTACGCGAGCAAAGGGGAGCTGTACGATTACATCAGCGAGCGGCGACGCCTCAGCGAGAGGGAGACCAGACACTTCTTCCGGCAGATCGTCTCCGCCGTGCACTATTGTCACAAGGTACGGAGCCTGGCCGTGGTTTCTTGTGGCGCGATGGGATTTTTTTTGTTTGTTTCACATCGTGACGGTGATGTCTCTTCACCGTAGTACATAGGGAGAATTTGTACGATGGAAAGAAGGAAAATGACCGCTATCCGTAATTCAAGAATCCAGGGATAACCCACTATTGCTATTTTTGTTTGTTGCTTTCCAATCTCCTTCTTCCTACTCCTAACGTTTGTTTTCTGTTGAAACTTTTCATTTTGATTAATTTTAGATTTGCAGCTTCTAAGATGGTACAGAGAGTTCCTGTATGCCCTTCACTCAGCTGAGGGGTGTATATAACATCTTAACGTTACTGTAGTACGTTTGTCAACACGGAGACACCAGTATTCATATACCACTCTTAACGAGACTACACATTTTATTTGAGTTTCACTAATTTTTCTGACAATGGCCATTTCTCCATTCTGGGATCCAATCCAGAGTAACACATCGCATGTATTTTTACGTAGTTTGTGGTGTGCTTTTTCGCTCAGTATTTTAATCTAAACATTTTCCTCTGTTACTAAAAATTCTCTGTAATTATTGTAATTTTTGGACATTTAAGCTGGTTCTGATTTCTGGTTATTATAAACAGTGATCATCATCTTTATACATTAACCTTTCCTGTCATCGGAATCATTTACTTAAGAGAAATTTTAGAAGTGGAATTATAGGGCCATGATGTTCTGAACCTTTCTATGCTCTTGGTACCTTTTGTTGTGTCGATTACGTCGGCATAGATTACCTGTGTATGCTCACATATATTTTATTAACACGCCTAATGGGATATGCTCATGATACAGCCACACTTTAGCCACCCTTGGTCTCTGGAGATGGAAATGAATTACACACAGGTAATTCCAAGCCATATTTCAGCCATGATTGTTATTAATCACTTTAGTCTTGATTTCCATCCCAATCATACTTTTTTTCCTCCCAGAACTATCATACCTTGAACAATCATTCACTCTGAGGACAAGAGTGTCTTGATCCAACATGACATCCAAAATAGAGTCAGCTTCTTCATACAAATGATCGCTATATGGAGCCTTCAGGTTTATAAAATATTCTGGTTGATGGATAGTAGCTATGGAAGTTATTAGAAAATGACTATTTGAATCTAAAACCCTTAACTCACGTGAACGTTATTTGATTTCTCTTTGCTGACTCAAAAGGATCTGATGATTCAGATCACACAACATTTTGTGTTTTATCATCAGTTATCACCATAAAACATTACAGACTGTGTTTTCATTATTGGAAGTGTGCGAATATTTGGATTTCACATGAATGGGACTTTATTAGACTCATTCCATCTTCTGTGAAAACCAGGAATGCAACAGTATAAACCAAACTGCTCCCAATATTTAAAAAGGAAACGAAATCAGGTACCTAGTATTCCATGTCTTTCCTCCAGGAGCCTTGGTTTGTGCATTTCTGAATTCAAAATACATCCTTAAAGATTTGGGTTAGAAAAAGAGTAGTAGGAATACATGTTTTCATCTCTCCAGTCAGTGCTTTTGGAGATGTTAGGAACTGTCAGATGGAAAGGAAAGTAAACAATAAAGGACTAACTGTAAACGTGCAGATGCTGAACTAAAAAAGTCTTGAATGAAAGACAAAGAATTTCTGGCCAGTTCCTTTGCTTAGAAGAGCAGCTTCAATGCAAATGTCCTTTACACTGAATGATGTTAAAAACCTATTCCCTGTTATTTATATTCCCAGCCCCGAATCGTTTAGCTCTTCAGTTCCACTTCTCCTACCTACCCCCTTAAAAGATCACTGGGTTTTAAAAGAGAAGTGAGTATACTTGTTGTTACTGTTGTACAGACCAACAGCCTATTGGCTAATGACTTTTTTCTTTTTACCGTTCAACTGACTGCTTGTCACTGCAGTTCAGCTTCCAGCCTTTCCAGAGTTTGCCTGAATGGAAAGGTCACCCAGTATGGCAGTGACTTGGTCAACCCAGGGGCTACGGTCTTGGTCTTATTGGCCTCTCCCACCTTCACCTTTCACCCCACATTGAGTCCTGCCGAGTAGAGAGGGACTTTCAGAATCTTCTCTCCCAGCTGCTTAGGAAATACTCCTGGGAGTGCCTTTGTTATCTTCAAAGGATCAGTTTCGTGGGTCAGAATAGATCGAACCAGGCCCCTTTCAGCACTGGGGAGGTAGGCAGGCAGACAGACAGACAGACAGACAGACGTTCTCCGAGCCTTGCATTCTGAGTCCCCAGCAGAGAAATCTGCTTCTTCCTTGGGAAGCACATCACAGACAGACATTGTTTGCCGCCGCCGCCGCCTGGGACTCTATCGCTTTCACACAGTGGAATGACATTCCGCCAAAGGATCCCCCTGCTGTTTTACAGGCTCTGGGGGAGAATGGATTCCAGTCATTTTTCGGACGTTCTCCAAGCCTTGCATTCTGAGTCCCCAGCAGAGAAATCTGCTTCTTCCTTGGGAAGCACATCACAGACAGACATTGTTTGCCGCCGCCGCCGCCTGGGACTCTATCGCTTTCACACAGTGGAATGACATTCCGCCAAAGGATCCCCCTGCTGTTTTACAGGCTCTGGGGGAGAATGGATTCCAGTCATTTTTCCCTTAACCACACAGCAAGTGACTAATGCTCTTCTGTCGCTGGTCGCTGGCGGGAGCTTCATGACAGTGAGAGCAGCCCTGAAGGATGGTGGAGAAGACCACCGGGCTGGTGCATTTCTTTCATCTGTCAGATATTTCCCCTTGCTCTCCCTCCGCCTTCCCCTCTCTCTCTCATCCCAGCCGCTCCCATTCATTTCCGTGCCTGTCTTCTTATTTCAGAATGGTGTGGTCCACCGGGATTTGAAGCTGGAAAATATACTGCTCGATGACAACTGCAATATTAAGGTAAACCTCTTGCCTCATTGATTGATATGCAGGACCTGGGGTTGGCAGCCGGAGGGGAATTAAACTGCTGCAAACTGCAGCCTAGAAATAAGGCGGCTGCTTCCTTTCCAGGCAGGCAGGTGGGGAGCGTTATGGGCTTGAGCCCTCAGTTCAATTCAAGCAATTAAATTCAGTAAGCATTTTACCTATCTCCACGACATGCCAGACATTCTTCTTCATGCTGGGATGAAAAAGATGACTAAAATATGGTCTCTGTCCTCAGGAAGTTCATAGGCTACCATCATCACTGTAAAAATACTTATCACAATAACACACTGCATATGTGTTTCATATCATGTTTGTGTGCTATCACTTAAATTCAGTCTTTACAACAGCCCTATGAGATAGGTAGTTATTTACATTATTTAACAGGTAGAGAAATTGCGTCACAGAGAAGTTGAGTAACTTACTCGAAGTAACACAGAGATAGGCAGTTGCAGGTGGGGTTTGAACCCATGTCTGTCTGACTCATGAGCCCATGCTCATTTTGCCAGTGGGCCCCGAACTATTTTAGAGCTGGAACTCTTCCCCTGCCACTTTCCTGTCATTCCCACCCCATATCTACTACTTCTCCCTCCCAACCCTCCCACCCCTGAAACCAGCTGTGGAACTGGGAAACTGGCTGAAATAATGGCAGTGTTCGCCGTTGGGAATGAGCATACCGTCAAGTGATGGAGTTTACTTTTATGGGGAGTATTATTGCTGGCTGCTGCTGGAGCTGGAGAAAGTTCTCCTGGCCGCCAGGGTTCAAGTATCTCCTGCAGAGCACTCCAAATGTTCTTTTGATCACATCTGCAAAATAAGCAAGTATGGTTTCAAAATAAATGGAGCTCGCCGCATGGGTTTCACAATGAAATGGCCTTAGTCCTCCAGGCACCAGGGGATCCCTTTAATTGGCCACTGGTGACGTTAGTGCCTCAGCCCTGGTCTCCGGACGAAGCATGGGAATGACCTTGCATCGTCCTCTTTTTTGTTGTTGTTGCTGTCAGTTGAGGGGGTGCATCGCTATGTCCTTACTCGGAAGGATGGAGTTGCTTTGGCGTTTGGATTCTGTTTGCAGACTATGGTGGTCACTGTTCGTCGCCATCATGCTTAGAGATGCCCCTTGAAGCCATGTCTGGGTGACCTCTTGTTCTTGCGAGTGATGGACCATAGTCACATACTTCTATGTAGTCCTTAGAATAAGGAGTAAACAGTTGGTCAAAGCAGTTTTCTCTAGGAACAGGAAGTGAAATCTCAGGGCCCTTCCATTTCTTGGCAAATGGAATATTTGAGAAGGAAACTAGCTGTAGAGTTAGAAAATTCCATCCTGTGTGGCTTCGTAGCTGCTTGACTTTGGGAAAGCCACTTCTCCCTGTTTCCTCAACTATAAAATGGGGTGACAGTAATGCCCACAGGCTTGTTTTGAGGACTAAATGAGATACTCTGTGTTTAGCAATAAAAGCTGCTGAGTACTGTGCAGTGAGTGAGTCAAAGTTAAGAGAAATAGCTTCATCGTTGGATAGCCTGAGTTTGAACTGCACCCCTGCCCCTTACCAATGGTAGTATTTTGGACAGATAAATTCCTCACCTATCTAAGCCCGTTTCCTTATTTGTTCAGTAGGGATGCCAGTCCCTGTCTCTGAGAATTGTTGATTTGCTCATTTTTTTAGTGAGTATTTCCTGAGTAGTTTACTGTGTGCCTTGCCCTGTGCCCTGTCCTGGGGAGTCAATGAAACGCATGAGGATTTTAGATGCTATATAGTCAAAGCACTTAGCACTAACTCTTAATGTCCAAGGCGCCTGCTTAAACAGCTGGCCCCTGGAGGGGAAATTGAAGAAGTCAGCTGCTCTGAAGGTGCCTGGAGCCTCGGGACTGGTGGTCAGGCCATGGCTGGTGAATCGGGAGGGGAAATTGAAGAAGTCAGCTGCTCTGAAAGTGCCTGGAGCCTTGGGACTGGTGGTCAGGCCATAGCTGGTGAATCGGGTACTGGTCTGAGGGACATATTCTAAAGGTTTATGTCATCCACTCTGGTAACTTTCTCTGCAGATTCTTCCTGCCACCTGTCCCCAGAGCTCTCATAACTAAGTATAGTCTTTACAAGGCCTGGAATGTGAGCCTCTCGGTTGGGGATTGGGTTCTGTAATACAGAGTGACCTCTTGCTCTCATGATGTAGTCCCAGAAGCGATAAGGCACATAGCTTCCTACAGAGTCATAGAATTGCCCAATGCAGAAGAATGGTTAGAATTCTGAAAGCAATTGTGCTGGGAGCAATAGGCAGGAGCCCAGGAGAATAGCTCATTTGCATAAGCAATAGAGCCTTGATGTTGAGCCTCTCAGCTCCCAGGACCAAGTCCTTCAATCTATTAGGTAGGGAAATAGCAGACACATAGCACATTATAGAAATTAAAGTTTCAGTTATATCTTTTTCTTTAGGATTCTTAATCCTTAAGAGTTTCTACTTCTGGCATTTACCGAGGTAAAACACACACATGCATCCCAAACAAAAACCAAACTTTCCTGCTGTCTGACACTAATACTTTCTTCTGCTTGTTTAAGGAATGCCACTAGGATCTGAGAATCCTATAGCTTGAAAGAACCTTGAGGGTCACTTTCCAGTCCCTTGTTTTAATGGTTATGGCCCAGAAGATCTAAGTGATGTGTCCAAGATCACATACAGTGAACCAGTATAGACGAAATTATTGTGTCTTTGTTTCTCCAGAATGTGGCCCATTAGGGCCCAGTTTGTCATACAGTAGGTCCTCTTAAACCGTTTGAGTTTGGAGTGAAGGTTGACACCCAGGATTAGAACTCACTTTGTTTTGACTTCCAGGCAAATTCTCTTTTCATCATCTCACACCCATTTCCAAGGTTTTTAAAAATGTGTTTTGACTGGCATTGATTTGTCTTCTGGCTGTATATATGTGCAGCTCTTCCTGAGTCAGCATTTTGATGAAAATATATTTAGTTTAGAGAAGGCACTTGTGACAAAGGCAGGTGGGCACAGACACATGGCCACAAAGCTGGCCTCCATGTTTAAGAAAGCCCATGTCATCAGTGTCTGGACCGGGTGACCATGGTCACTGATCTATTACCAGCCAAGGGGATAAGAGCAGCGAGGTGCCTCTCAGAGCCCCCTCTTGTGCCTCTCTAAATGTGGGTGCATCTTCCCTATTCCAAGGGTGGAGGGCATTTGCCCACGAAGCCTATGAAAATGCTACTGATTTAAACTTGTCACATGTCACTGCAGTTTTGCTATGAGCCATGCAGCTTGTTCTTCTTGCCTCCCTGCCTGATGTCGATTTTCAAAGAACACATCTGGCCTTGGAAATATTTATCTGGCCACTGTGAGAGGGTGTGGCTTCTAAAAATATTCACACAGTCGGTCAGCAGAAAGAATGAGAGCAATGTGCTTCTTTGGGATGCATTCCGTCCTCTGTGGAGAAGCATGTCTACTAAAATAGACACCCAGTATAGCTTTAATTTGCAATTAATAAAAACAGGCCAGATTCACATCCCAGCCTCTGGAAAAAGACAATTCCCAGGAGGCTCCTGTAAAAATGCCTTACAATGAGAAGAGGTCCAGGCACTAGGGTCAGCTGACCTCCTCAGAGAGGGCTGGGAATTTGGTGAGCTCCCAGGGCTCAGAGTAGAGGGGCGTAGGGGGAAATGGCCCATTACCCCTGATGACAATGGAAATTCAGCTGCTGCCGATAAGAAAAGAAGCTTTGAATAGTCAGGGCTAAGGCGAGGTTGGAACCTCTGAGCCTTAACAAGACTAAGTGGGGCAGCTCAGGATGTGGGCCTCTGGGCTTTGATTATATGAATGTGAGAATGTGTATTCATGCATTAATTAATCCATTCATTTGTTTGTTCATCTGTCCATTTGTGTGTGTGTGTGTGTGTGTGTGTGTGTGTGTGTGTGTGTGTGTGTGTATGTATGTATATGTATGTTTATATATCCATGCGTGCCTGCATTCACTTCTGCACCTAATCATTCAGCAAATTGAGTCTCTCCTATCGACACTATTTATTCAACCACAGATATTCACGAAGTTCCTACTGGGTACCTGGCCCTGGCCTGGATGCTGGGAATTTAATAATGAACCAGGTAGTCAGGCTCCTGAGTTCTCGGAGCTCAGAACTAGCACTTGTTAAACTATCAGTCACAAGGAGCCATGAGAAGGATACCTAGGTGAATGAGGAAAACAAGGTACCTGCCCTCATGGCCTTAGAATTTCAGTTGGGGACACAAACAGTAAATGAAGCAATGTATAATGTACATTTATCTGATAGTGAAGAAAATCCACACAAAGGGTGCAGTTGGAGGATGGCTGGTGCCATTTGGCTAGGGTGGTCAGGGAAGTCTGCTTGCATAGGACTTGAACCCCTCGAATCCACCAAGCTTTCTCCGGATTCCTGGCCTTTGCACACATAGTTCCCTCTGCCTAGAATGCTCTTCCCATTGTTCTTTGCTCCCCTCCCACCCCTACCCCACCCCTTGAGTCTCGGCTTGAATGAATCTTCTTCCAGGAAGCCTTCTCTGCTCTTTGTCTCTTGGCAGGGCCTAGTGGCCCTACTATGTGCCTTTTAGTGCTGTGTATAATATGCTGTGGAAGTGCTGAGCAGGAAGCGGTAGGTCTATTAGCTAGATGGACCAGAAAGCCTTCGCTGAGGAAGTGGTGATCGAACTGAGTTTTGAAGGATGGGTAGGAATTCAACAGAAAGGAATGTAATGGTCTTTCAAGGGGAAGGAGCACCAAGCACAGGAACAGGGCATGGAGGCTGGGAGAGAAAAGTGACCTTTATGGAGCCAGTGCTGGAAGCTGGAGTCCTGAGCCAGACCCTCCATATGCTTTATTTCCTTTGGTTCTCAGAATGTCTCTACCAGCATGGGTCTGACGACTCCCATTATACAGATGAGGAGTCTCCCACAGCGTATAAGCAATGGGGCTGCTTCAAACCTATGGCTATATGCCGCTCAAGTCCGGGCACCTGATACATTCTACTCTTTACTACTCCCACCCAAATTTGCCCTAAGTCCAAGAAAGCATCCCATGAAGACACGTTTTGGTTCTTGCTTCAGTCAGTCTTGCCTTGTCTGTAGGCAGCTTGTGTTCAGCTGTCCCTGGGAGAGACTCTCCAAGTGCAGGGATGCCAGAGTCGAATGTGTAGTGAGCTGGGAGCAGTTGCTCATTGGTGTCCCCTGAAAGGCTGCCTTTTGGAGGTGCCATGAGTTAAGGGCTTCCCCAGATTGCATGGAGCCGACCATTTCCAGTCCCTCTCTCCCTCTCTCTCAGCGGTGTGAGCTTAGATTTTTTTCGATGATGAAAGCTGACCCCATTCACTTTTGCTCATTGTTCCACTCTCTACCTTCACTTCCTGACAGCTCAGGAATGAGGCTGTCATGGGTAAAGCCACCACGATTAACTCCAAGGCAGGAAAGGGGCTGTGGAGTGTGTCTTCCTGTATGGGGCCGCTGTCTTCCTGAGGAGTTCTGCAGAAAGCCCGCTTCCTCCTCAGCCACCTGAGAGCAATAACTCCCCTTAATGTGGAGATTTACAGCAAGGCGGCTCTTCCTTCAGGGAATTTTAGGCCAGCCACTTTACTGCCCTGGGCCTGCTTCCTTATCTGCTACTAATGGTACCCTCCTCACAGGGTTGTTGTGAGGATTTAATACATTAATGTATGTAGTATTCACAGAATAGCCGCTGGCAAGTCGCAATGCGGCTATTATTGTAATATCTCATTTAATCTAATTTTGGTTTTCATAATACCGTGTGATTGGTGCTATTGCAGTTCTATTTCCCAGTAAAGGAAATAGACTCAGAGAGTTTAAAGTAGTAATTGCTAACATTTATTGAAGGCCTCCTATGTACAAAGCATGATTTCCAGCTATCGATTCATTTGATTTTCCATCAGCTCCACAAGGTAAGTTGCATTGTTATTATCACACCAGTTTTACAGACGAAGAAACCCAGATTCAGAGTTGCTAATGTGCGGTGAATCCTCTGGGGATCTCGTTAAAATTCAGACTCTGACTCAGGAGGCCGGGGTCGGGGCCCAGGATTCTCAGTTACTGATGTGCTCCCAGCTGGTGCCGATGCTCATTTCTCTTGGCTCTTTGGTGGGCAGTGGCTTATTGGGTTTAGTTCAAACTTTGTCTTGCCTAGCAAACAGTGCTAAGTAAACCAAACCATCAGCAGTATCACAATGGCTGTAATTTATAGGGTCGGCTGGGACCAGGACTATTCCGGGACTTTATATAAGTGTTCTTTGGTCCTCGCAACACCTGTATGAGGTGGGTTCTATTCTTATTCCCATTTTGCAGATGAGGAAATTGAGTGTCTTGGCAGGTCCCACCAATAACCTCGTAGTGCTAAGGCCAGGGTTAGCCGTAGGTTCTTCTGGCTCCTAAACCTCTGATCAGCCCCATCCACTGCACTTCCTCTTCGGCACTGCAAGTGACTGTCAGATCACTGCTTATGTTGTCATTGTCATCAGCATCCTTTCCCAGCGGTTAATCATCAGCAAGCTGGTACTTCCTTTTTCATAGGGTGAACTCACGGTGATTAGTCCTGCCATCTGAGATTAATCCTTCTTTATTTAAATCGTGGCAAAATCTATGTAACATCAAGTTTACCATTTTTAGGTGTGCGGTTCAGTGGCATTAAGTAGACTCACACTGTTGTGCACCCATCACCTCTGTCCATCTTTTGCATGTTCCCCGAATGAAACTCTGTCCTCATTAAATAATAACTCCCCATTCCTCCCCTGGCAACCACCGTTCTACCTTCTGTCTCTATGAATTTGACTAGTCCAAGTGGGCTCATAGAATATTTATCCTTTTGTATCTGGCTTGTTTTCACTTAGCACAGTGTCTTCAAGGTTCACCCATGTTGTAGTGAAGTTAATTCTTTTGAAATGCGAACAGCCACTTCCTACTTTTATCTTTCTAACTCCGATTTTCATCCAGCAGCTCGATAACAACAAAAACTTAAAAAGTTAAAGACATGACTGTTGACTTCCCGGTTTCCTTTTCAGAGTCCAGGCTGAACTGACCAGTCCAGTGTAGGCACAGAGGGTGGTTCTGAACCAGTGTGGGGCAGGGGAACAGTCTTATAGTTGATATAAGCTCCTCATGGCATAAAATCTTAAGGCTGCGACCCAAGTTTAAGTGGCTCCAGTTTCGAGAACTACGTGTGTGTGTAGATGCGTTGATTAATATTGTTTTCCATTGAAGTGCCAAGAATATGGACTAATCTAGATTTCTATTAATCTTCTGTCAGTGGCAATGACAGCTTTACTGGGAGAGGCTGATAAACATCAGTCTCTGAGGATGGGAGCGGGTACAACATAAACACACTTCTCAAAAGGGCTACAAGGAAAGCAAGGATGCCCAGACTCGGAGAACTCCCAGTGTGAGTTGTTTGTGTGTGTGCAGATTTGCACGTGGTGCTGGTGGGTGCTTCTCACACACGTGTGTATTTGGAATCTCATAGGTGCCCCAGATGCCTCAGACATTTGGGATGGGAAAGAATGTATTTTCCTCAGGAAGTGCACTGTGCTGTGCGGTTCCTCCCTTAGCTGAAGTCAGGACGAGGCCCTTGACTTCTCAGGGTGTCCCAGGCTGTGTGTGTGCGGATTTGCATGTGGCACTGGTGGGTGCTTCTCACACACGTGTGTATTTGGAATCTCATAGGTGCCCCAGATGCCTCAGACATTTGGGATGGGAAAGAATGTATTTTCCTCAGGAAGTGCACTGTGCTGTGCGGTTCCTCCCTTAGCTGAAGTCAGGACGAGGCCCGTGACTTCTCAGGGTGTCCCAGGCCGCAGTCATTCGGTGCCTCTTCTGATTGACAGGGCATGCTTCATAGAGCTTCCAACCAACTTCCTGGAGCAAGTCAGGAGCCTTTGATAAGATAGTGGAATTCAGGGCAATGAAGTGCAATCTGAGCCCCAAGAATGCGTTTTCTGAGGGTGGTTTTTCACAAGCTACTTTCAGTGACATTCCATTCATTCAGGGACGACTGTGACAAAATAGGCTTATTCTAGGGGCTGTGTTCAAAACAGCTTGAGTGTGTTTGCAATCAGGCCGGGCTGCTCTCTGGGCACGGGAGTCACTCAGCCTGTTTATAAGCCTCACCTGAAAACCGGCTTGGGCAATGGCAGAAGCCCGCAGCGGCTCAGCTTGTGAGGCTGGAATGAAAGGCTTAGAGTGGAGTGAAATGTGCCCTAACCCTGCGACAGGGTGGCACAGTGGTCTGAAGCTTTAGGGACACAGGGGTTCACATTGATGAGTACTAGTTAGCTCTCCTGAGATGGATAACTTCATCTCCCTGAACCTTGGTTCTCTCATCTGTTAAATGGGGTTTAAAAAAATTGTGGTAAAATATCCATAACATAACATTTACCATTTTAATGATTTTTAGGTGTACAGTTCAGTGGCTTGAAGTATATTCCCATTGTTGTGTAAATGGGGTTTTAGTGTAAAGTGTTTGATTGGAGGTTGTTCAGTAAGTGGTAACTAAGTTTATTATTATTATTTTGTGTTGCCTAGTAATTATCTTGTGCTTTTCAAAATTAATGACTATTATAGTGACAAGTGTTTCTTGGGTGAGGGCAGGTACTAAGCAGCGGATGATACAAAGATGAGGGGAAAATGTGGAATCTGCCACCTGCAGGGGCAGGGGGCTCGGAGTCTAATAGGCAAGATGAATTTATACATATATTTAAGTATATATATGCATATATGTACATAGCTATATAATATAAGCATATATACACGTGTGATAGTGTGATAATATGCTTATACATACATAATACATATGATATGTACATATGTGAATATATATATGGAAGAGGGTTACCATAAAGGATAATAAATAAAACACTTCAAGAAACTAAAGGAAAAAAAGAATGACTCCAAAGGGTGTGCAATGTAAGAGAAGCAAAGTTAGGTAAAACATTTGTATGGAACTTGAAGACTTGAAGGTTATAAAGCACTTTTACATTCATGGTTCATCTTGATATATTTGTTTTCTCATTCTTACATAATCTTGTGAGCTGGAACAGAATAGGGATCATGGCTTCTCATTTTCTGGTGGGTAAACTGAGGATCCAAGTAGGTAAATGTCCTGCTCCATGTCACGTATATGGCTAATGGTAGAATTTGGGCTGATGTATGATGACTCAAAACCCAGTGCCCTCAGCCCATTGCATCTAGGGTCACAAGATGGGCAAACTACAGTTCTGATCAGAGTGCGGGTGCATAAAAGGTGGTAGTGTCAGGTGCACAAGTCAGAGTTTTCCAAAGTGTAGTTTGCACATCACTGTGGTGCAGTCTTATTTTAGGTAGGCCTCAGATGGACAACTTTCAAATGAATAGTTATGCAATTTAATGTTCATCAGAAACATCAAGGCTATGATTTTGTGGCTACTGTGCAGGCAAGTCTAAATCAAAGTGAAGGTCGAGAGAGTCCAAGTCAGAAGTCATTTTAAATAATAGTGCATGTAGTGTGCAGATATGGCAGAACTTGTGTTAGATGCCAAGGACTGCAGTTGAGAATCATGGCCCAGCTGTGTTGACTGGTCCTCTTATGAAGACCCAGGGCTGGGAAGAAAAGCTTGACTCAGCGGGCAGACCTACTCGGATTTCTCTCAGCTGCTCTGGTGCTGATCCAATGCAGACGCTTACTGCATCACTAATGGGCCTCCCCCATCTTGCTTGTCTTTATAGATTGCTGACTTTGGGCTTTCCAACTTGTACCAGAAGGACAAGTTCTTGCAAACCTTTTGTGGGAGTCCACTCTATGCATCTCCTGAAATTGTCAACGGGAGGCCTTACCGAGGGCCGGAGGTGAGCAGGTTGCCTGTTGTATATGATGGGATAGGTAGGGGAGGCTTGGGGGTAGAAAAGGGGAGAGGGCAAGAACTAGATCCAGGAAATTCTTTAAAAACAACAACAACAACAACAACAACAACAACAACAACAACCACGAGCAAAGAAAACTTTAAAAACTATGATTATAAAAGTCATAACATACATATCCGGGAAAAAATTTGAAAAATTCAGAAAAGTCTAAAAGAGAATGTAAAGTTACTGCAGTCTACCGACAAAAGGTAACCCCTTAATATTTTTGTGACTTTTTAAAAGACTTTTTTCCACTGTAAATCTCTGCATTTAAAAAAAAATTGAAATCATTATATATATGTGTGTGTGTGTATATATATATATATATAT